GATGGAAACCCTGGTGCTCCCCTCCTCTATCCTGAGCCCCCAGGACCTGCAGAGCTGAGCAGGGCTGTTCTTGGCTGTTGGCACTGAACATCTCAGAGCTATGCTGGTGCTGAGCCGGCTGCTTAGTGTATCAGCAATGCACTCTGTGCTGCAGGGGTCTGTTTGGCAGTGAAAGCACAAGGAAGGCTTGATCCTATTGAAATCAAGCCCTTTCCTTTCCTTTGGGTAAGGGGAAAACAAAAGGTCAGAGTGCACATCACAGACTCCATAACCTTTGACGTCACATCACGTGATTTGGTAGCGTGGTGGGTTAAGCCAGCACTGGGTTTTTGCTGGGGCGGTGGGATCACAAATTCAGCTCGTGGATACAATCAGTTGTTGGGTCTCTGAACAGCCATGCAGTGCAGCAAGGCACCCTCCTGCTCTGTGTTTCAGTGAGAGGGGCCACGGCTGGGAGCGAGGTGGGGATGAGGAGCAGTGAGCTCACGAGCAAACTTTGAGCCATGCAGATACAGTCAAGGGGCCAGGCCCCCTCAGTTCAGCCCCCGCTTTGTAGGAGCAGCTACTCATGACTCCTTCATTTCTCCTCTCATAGAGAATATAAACCCTTTGGGACTTGCCCAGGTGAGAACAGTGAAGCTCAACATCCCCATCCCTGGAAGTGTCCAAGGCCAGGTTGGACTGGGCTTGGAGCAGCCTGGTCTAGAGAAAGGTGTCTCTGCCCATGGCAAGGGGGTTGGAATGAGGTGATCTTTAAGGTCTCTTCCAAACCACACCATTCTATGATTTGCCTGGTGATTGCCCAGCTCCCCTCCAACCATAAGGAAAAGTATCTTTAGGGGTCAGAAAACAAAGAAAGAACAGCCACAATCAAGCTGCCTGTGCTACATCTCCCATTCATACAACCCATCTTAACTGATTATTAAATCATATTTGCTGATAAGTATGAGATGTAATATCTATTACACAGCTGTTAAACCTCAATTAATATGTTTTAATGATCAGTCGTTTACTGTGCAATATACAATTAACATCCGGTATTAGCTCTTAAATTAAATGCGTGTTTGGGAAGCTGAATTTGCAGCACTGAACATCGCCGTGCCACGGTACACAGTGATAATTGCCTCCAATAGACAGGCTTTCTGTGCCCCGAGAGGGGGTTAAACCAACACCCCTGGCATCAGGGAAGAATGGAGGAGAATTCCTACAGCAGCCAGGTTCTACTTTTTCGGTGTATTTTGGTCCCTACAGAGGCTTTCATTCATTTCCCTTGGGAAAAGCACCCCGATGCTGAGCTGCTGTGCATGTGAGAAGGTTGAGCTGCGTGGGGTACCCCCTCAGAGGGGTGTTTCCTTGGCAAGGGTTGGGCAGGAACCTGGGGCAATTAGTTATGCTGAGTCCTGGAGGCTGCTCAAGGGGGTTTGGTGCTGGAGTTTGGATCTGAGACTGAAGCCTTAAATCAAAGCTGATTCACATTGCCTGCCAGGAGGAAAGCCCTCACTGCACCGTGGGTTTGGAGCCATGCAGGGAAGCAAACTCAGCTCTTGGTGTTCTCCAGGCAGCAGCCACAGAGCTGTGTGTGTGGGCAGTCGACTTCAAAATCATAATCACAGAATGGTTTGGGTTAGAAGGGACTTTAAAGATCATCTCGTTCCACCCCACCTGCTGTAAGCAGAGACACCTTCCACTAGACCAGGCTGCTCCTAGCCCTGTCCAACCTGGCCTTGAACATTTCCACGTTTGGGGCATCCACAGCTTCTCTGGGCAACCTGTGCCAGTGCCTTATCATTTTCTGAGTAAAAAGCTTCTTCCTAACAGCAAATCTAAATCTATCCTCTTTTAGTTAAGACTGTTCCCTCTTGTCCTATCACTGTTTGCCTGTGTAAAAAGGGGTGGCTTCACCAGCCTCGAGAAGATATAAAATTTGGTTTAGATTATCTCTTTTTTTTTTTTTTAATTTATTTTAACTCACACTAAAGATGGGGGCCAAAATGCTCCCTCTGATGCCTGGCACTGCTGCTGTATCTGCTCTGACAAGTGAGCCCACGTTGTCTGGCAGGACACTGAAGGACCTAGCTTGTTCTCAGCATGCTGCTGCCTTATTAACACAAGATTCACCTTACTTGAAAAAGTACTCCTGAGCAAAGATGAAGAAAAATCTTTCTTTCTCCCTTCCTTTTGCTTTTGTCACACTTGGGGGAGCAAATGAAGATTGATATGTTTTTCTTCTAGTCTTTCAGTTTAAGTATGCAGTGGGGCATCTTATAAGAAAAGGAGGCCTTCACCCCTCCATCTTTTCTCTACAGACCTTTCCTCTCACCCCAGTGCTTTGCTACAGCAGATGCAACCTCTGCTGAGATTTGGAGACAGGGTGGTGCTGCAAATGTGGCTCCCCTGGTGCTGTAAGGACATGTGTGGGAGCTGGCTGCCACCCAGGCAGCCCCCTCCTGCAGCATCCTGCTTGGTTTTTTATGCACTCTCCCTCCAAAGCTTCCTATGAGGTTTGCTGTGTTTATTTTTGGGGGAATTTTCTGCCATTCTTTAGAGGGTTTCATTTCTTTCTGGGAAATCGGTGCTTTCTTCTTTCTCTGTAAATGGAAAGTAAAACACACACGTCTGCTTAACACTCAGAATTGCTGTGGTCTCCCTCTTAAGTTTCCACATCACCTCATTTGGTGTTGTTAAGAGTGATCCAAGTGTTTCATGGAACCTGTTCTTCTGTGTCAGGATTGTACACAACTTGCAATATTTTGATTCACAGCTGACAGGTTTGGGAAAGAACATCATTAGGAAGAGGATGATTGTGGATTGTCCTAAATGTTCACGGGGAAAAGCAGCCTGTCCACTGGAAGCCCCAATGTGTGCTCCAGTCCTGACTGTGTGGAGGGTACTGGAAAGGAATTGGGGGGGAAAGCTGGCAATTTCCTTTGGGATGTGAACACCAGGCAGTGATCCCTAAGACCAGCTGAGCATCTAGATTATTTTCCAAGGGGGAGTGGATGCAAGTGCTCCCAGCTGTGAGCTTTGGCTGTCCCAGCTCAGTGCCAGAAGGGGACCCCAGGATCTGCTTCCCATGGGCTAAAACTTGTATTTCAGGTGATATCCCACATCTTCCCGTGGGTGGCCCAGGTAGGGGTTAACACACATGTCCTTCACATAAGCAGCAAGCTTTGTTTCTGCTGAACCCAGGATCTGGAGGGAGGTGGAAAAGGCAGAGCCAGCAGTGCAAGCTGATCCTCTCCGGAGAGCAGATGCATTTAAGCAGCACAAAGCAGAGGAAATCTGATTCCAGTGTTGACAGAGCTGCCTTGGCCACCCAAAGTGGGCTGGGCAGAGGGGTTGGAGCAGGCAGGAAGGCTCTGAGCTGGTGTGGCCAACACACCTTCAGTGGCCAAGGCACCTCACCCCAACAGGCAGTCCCTTCCCTCTTGCTTAAAGGGATGAAAATACAGGAGGTTGTGATGGGACCTGTGGCAAGGACAAGGAGGCACTTTGAGCCAGATTTATCTGCGGCAGCTCCCAGAATTCACCCTTAGCCCGTGACTTAGGCACACATGAGGAAACAGGCTCAAAGACGGATGAGTCTGGATGTGTGTTGCTAATTTTTCCTCCTCGGGGTTGAATCTCCACCTTTCAAAAATCTTAAACCCAAATACAGCTTTGATCTGGCATTCAGGATCCATTGTTTCTACATTTAGCCCGCTCTCTGCTCCATCCCATAGAGGATGCTCCTTCTTTAAAACATGCTTAGGAGAGGGATGCCCAATGTAATGCTTCAGATGAGCAGGCAGGCTGTACTGGCCTATGAATGTGCCATTGAAACATCTTTATTTCTTCTAATTTGGTATTTTTGCCCCTCTGTTCTCCTTTCTTCTGTCCTTCTCTGGCTTTTTTTTTTTTTTCCCCTCATTTTGCTTGGTTTTAATCATCTGCCTGGCCATCTGTGCCTCCCCGCTCTCTTTCCTCGGAGCTTCTCCAAAGCAGAGTAATGTTTCAGCAACTCTTGGATTTTGCCTCCAAGCCCTGTGCCTTTTCTTGGGCCCAGGCTAGAACACAGTGTTTCAAACAGGGTTTGGAGTCTCCTGTGAAATCTAGACAAGTTCCTCTAGCTGCCCTCTTGGCTTCAGAGCAGCTGTTTAAGGACAAACACATACAAATGACTTTCACAGTCACCTACCTTAGGCAGGATCTTGGATGTACATCATCACAGAATTGAATTATCCCAGTCTTTCCATGTACTTGTTCTTGCAAGAGCACCGTGGGAATTACTGGTTGTTCTGTAGTCTCTTGTAGAGGGAGAACAGACACAGGCAGGGGGGAATAGATTCCCCTGGTGATTTCCTGCATGTTCTCCTAAAAGCTGCTTTGTGGCAGAGCAGTTCCAAAGTTGCTTGGCTGGTGTCCTAAACAACAAGTTATCTATTGGTGGCTACACAGCTCCCACAGGTTTCCTTTAGCCTCTCTCAACCTTCTCCCTGCTTTTCCTGTCTTTGAGAGCACCCCAAAAATAAACTTCATGGTAAGAAATGACCCATTCCCAGGATGCTGATGACAGAAAGTGGCCATGGAAACCTGTATGGGGACCCCCCTCTGCAGTCAGTGATGCCAATTCACTGTTCTAGATGTGCAAACTTTTGTGCAATATTAAAAATTAGCTTCACCTCTGGAAAGGGGAGAGAGTGTAAAGGGAGAAGCCCTCTGCCAGCTGCCATGGGCACCACGAGGTGCCCAGCTCAGCAGTGATATTCACTGTTAGTAGTGTGTTTTTTAACTGAGCTGAGCAGTGTTGCAAGGTTTGGGGATGGGTGAGGGTGCAAATTTGTCCTGGTTGGGGCTCTTGGCCTTGGCGTGGCATCCTGGGGTCCCGCTCGGGGCCTCGAGACCCTGAGGATTTGCATGGCAGGGAATAAATATTGCATTTTCACCTCTGGTTGATGCTGCTGACGGGGTGCCAGGCTGACTCTGGGTCCTGACCCCGTGTTGCTCTTTTCCCTCCCCAGAAAATGAGTTTCGGGGTGAGCTGCTGAATCAGAGGTGGACCTGCGGAGAGAAGATCAGCAGCTGCGAGGGAGCCGCCAGCCTGCACGGCTCACACATCAAGGTGAGCACACAAACTTTTACTTTTTTAGCATCTTAACCACCCCATGTGTTGGCCACTGCTGCTCCAGCCCCAAGGAACCAGCTGGCCCTGGGGGGACCGAGCCTTTCCAGTACCCAAAGTGATGGGCAGGACTTGGAAGTCTCTTGTGTCCTTGGTACAGCCAAACCTCCTGTGCGGTGAATCCGGGCAGGGAGGGCTTCCAGCTGTTGAGATTTGGCTTGGAGTCCAGATATTTAAATCCTTGCCTTCCTCTCTGGTGCCATCCTTCAAGGGTGGCTCAGATCTGGGTATTTAGGTCACTCCCAGGGCTGTTAAAATAGGCTCTTTCTCCAAGGCGCCGGCTGGTCGGAAGGAGCCCCTCGAGCACCAGGTGAAGCTGTGGCGCCTTTGGAGGGGACAAGCGAGGCATTCATTCCTGCCGGGACCCCGGACAGCTCCTTGGGCTCAACAGAGCCACTCATTTACTGCTGCAGCTGTGGCTGATGAAAGAGGCACAGCCAAAGCTGTCAAACCTCCTGGCAGATTCTCTGCCAGCAGATCAGGAAGCTTTAATTAAGCAGAGAACTGGGCTGCTCACTGCACAAGTGGTGCTTCCTGTCCTATTTTGGTCCCTCAGTAGTGAGGGATCATCTCCAGTGTGTGGATGGACCTACCTGGGTGGTGAGGAAGCCTCCTTGGGTGACTGATGTTACCGAGCCTTCGTGTATCCCCAGATAAACCGAACCCTGGTAAAACCCCAAGCCAGCAAAAATCCACTCTTAAAAACCATCCTTCTTCACTAACAAGCTGTCAGCTGCACACAGGTGTCGCCAGGAAAACTCACACCTTCTTAGAAAGCAGAGTAAGCAGTTGTTGCTATATTTAAAATGAGCTCAATTAAGGCTTTTCTATTGAACCTGCCAAATAAGCACTTAGATTAGATTTAATAAGATTGTCATATGTTAATAAAGCAATGATTACAAAAGGTAATATTCCCAGTACCTGGTGCTCATCTAGTGCTCTGCCTCTGACAAGCACATCGTGAATATTAACCATTTCTTGCAGTCCCCCATCTCTGCTTCTGTGTGTTTTTTGGGGGTGAGAGGAGGAAATGATGAGAGGGAGTCTGGAGGGAGCCTGGATATTGTGTGTGTGTGTGTGTGTGTGTGTGTGTGTGTGCAGCCCTCTTACCTCACAGAGGGAGAGGTCTTGATCCCTCTCTAACCTTTGGATCTGCACTGTGTGCACACACTTGCACTTACAAGTGTGCTCATAAATACATATTGTATTTAAGTGTAGTTTTTCATGCCAGTCACAGCTCGTAATCCACAGGATGTGCAGTGGTGAAGGACAATGGGATGTGGGGCACGTTTACTTATTTATTTTTGCCTCTGAAGAAGTCCAGGCCTGGGATACAATTTCCCATGACAGGTTTGAAATGAGATCTCTGCAGTGCTGGCGAGAGCTGATCTCTGCACGGAGCCAGCTGAGCCCGTCTGCATGGACGCTCCTGGACCACGGTTCCTGATGGCAAAATGAATGTTTGTGTCCCAAACCTTTATTTTCCAGTGCCATAGGGAGCCAGCTGGGGTGCAGCTGAATAGCAGGCAGCTTGTTGGTGAAGGGTGACTGCTGTCAGGACAAGCAAGGATGGTGGTGGGATCACCAGAGCCCAAGTGTGCCACGAGCACTGGCTATTTTGTCCTCTTTGGAGAGATGCACGTAGCTCACTTCAACAATCCCCTCACATGGGGCCAGTCGAGGATAATCTTATGGAAAAGGCAGCTTATTACCGAGCTGGAAAACAATGAGGTCGGAGAACTATGATTTATTCCCCCCCCCCTTCCTTCCCTACCCCTCCTCTAGTGGCGTGAGAGCCATCGGTACGTATGGAGCCACTTAGGCCTCCCCGGCATTGGGATTGCGTGTTGTTGTAGCCCTGTGAGACAGTCAGGGGGGAAAGTACATGTCAACTTAAACTACAGCGTATGAAATCACCCGGCCCGTTGCGCGCTGATGTCGGCGCTGCGGACGCGCCCGGTGCAGCTGCGGCTGCTGTCAGATGTGATGCTCGGGAGCAGCTTTTCTGCTCCGCTTCCCCTGGCGTGGAGGATGCTGCTGCCATCGCCACGGAGCGCCGGCGCTCGGGAGGCATTTCACTCGCAGTGCCGGGTGCTTTCCGGGGCGGGGGGGTGGGAGGGAATGTTGGACCCTTCCTGCAAATGCAAGCTGACAGCAAGGCTTCAGGAAGGATGTTTGTGACACAGCTGTAGTGTTGGATTCGAGGTGGGTACAAGCTGTGGGTTTGCGTCCGGGACGCATCAAGGAAAAAAAAAATCCCACACCCCGCCCCCGACTCCAAGGCCGGGAACACCGAGCAGAGTGTCCTTTCCTGGAAGCAGTCACAGCAAAAGGCAGGCGGGAGTTTAGTCAGCCGAGGACAGGACTCACAATAGGTGGAACGTCAGGAGGATTTAAATCAAGCGGCCAGGAAGACCCTAAAGGAAGAAGAGAGAAAAAAAACCCCAACCTCCTAATGTCGGAGTGTGGTTATAAAATAGCAGCTGGGAGCTACTACTGAGCCTTTTTTAAAAGTAGAAGCACACTTTTGATCAGGGGTATTTCTTCCTCCATCACCCCTTACTTATTGAAAACCTCACAGCTAGAGAAGGTCCAGCAGGACAAAGTCCTCTTCATTTTCTACAGTGACCAAAGATGCTGTGACACTTTGCAGAGAGCACGGGGGAGAAATTTGAAGGCCCAGATCAAGGTCTCTCCACCCATGTTCAGACTGCAAGAGCCAAGGAGGAGGAATTCCTGGTAGGGTGGGGGAAACCCCCCTCATCCCCCCCAGAAAAAAAAAAAAAAAGAGGGAGGACAAATCAGGACAGGCCATTCAAACCTGTCCTCACCAGCTGGTAGGAGCTGAAGGGCAGTTTTCCTGCCTTTTCCCTTGAGGAGTTAATTGAGGGGCTCTTTGGATCTGGAAGAGGGGGAGGACTGAGCAGAAAACTACTTTTCAACTATTCGGTAGGAAAAATGTCATTTCTTCTGGCATTTTCCTTCTGCTGCTAGGCAAATGTAAGTTTAGAGAGTTCTTTTTTTAAGCTAAAAATAGAGGCTCTGTGTGTCCGTCTGTCCCTCTAAAGCTCAGATGCAGTTTCTTGCAACTGGCATTTTGCTGTGTCCACAAATAAGCACTGATGGAAGCTCTGCTGCTTTCGGTGTAAAATAAATATTCCTGCTGAATCCTCACCTCCCTTTGTCCAGCTGAAGGCTTTTTCAGCATGTTTATTTTCTCTGAGCTCCGTGGTGCTCTTGAATACATATAAAGTATTAGTGCTGACCGGGGGGAATTTCAGCAGGGCCCTTAATGGCATAGATTTGCATAGAGCTGTCGAAGCCCAGGCACACCTGGGCATCAGCACATGGTGGGCTCCCAGTGGGTTTATGTTCTGTTACGTCCCTTGGTCCCCCGTTGGAAAGGAAATGTGTATTAAGATAAGAAGGAAGAAGAAAATATCAACCCTGTAGGTGCTCCATGAAATGAAACTTCAGGTCCATGCTGTATTGCTGTCTTGGCAGCAGAACAAGACCTTTACTTTAGAATCAGGCAGTTAAAATTCCCGTTGTAATATCTTGTTAAACTCTTTCTCAAGTTTATCTGTCTGAACCTCCCTGACTTAGATTTGCAGTGTTGACACATCATTATTGTAACTTGTATTCTGGTTGTGCCAGGGAGCTCCTTAGTGTGGGGTAAACACATGGTGCAGGGGATATTTCTTCCCTTTAGAGAGAAAAGGGGGGGAAAAGGGGCACTCAGAGATGAAATGATGTTCCCAAGGTTACCCTGATTGTCAGTGGCAGAACATTGAGTTGAATCCTGAAGCGAGTACCCTGAGACCCAGCACAGGGTAGCATTGGGTTAGGAAACGTGCCAGATGCTTATTTTTATTTAATCTTAGAAACAACCTATTGATAAGTGAGGATATACAGAATAAACCTCTGTATTTTCTAGCTGGACTAACATGCCTGTAGCTGGCGTTTGGTAGCAATTATTTATTTGCAGGTTTCCCTTTGGATTGCTTTGTTTTCACTCAGAGTTCAAATAATAAGAGTGAAATCCAGACAGCTTCTCAGCCTGGCTGTTATGTGAACAAGTGGAGAGACCTAATGAAAATACCCTGTCGGCCTCCAGGACTGCGAACGTGCACTATGTGACCTGAAATTCTGCGTTAAAACGATCTGTCTGGAGGGCTTCTGGCTGAGAAGGCAACAATAAAGGGCAGTGGTTTCATGTAACCTTCCTGCATCCGAGCCTGATACCACGGAGGCTCCTGAGGTGCAGGCACGGCTGTGCCGGCTGTTTAAGTTGCCCGGGAGGAGCAGGGCCTGAGCTCCGAAATGGATCTTGTTCCTGGTGTTCCTGCACTTTGGTGGGGAATGAGGATTTTTTGAGGATGCTGTTGCTGTTGATTTAAGCTGAGAAAAGAAGGCTGATGGTAGAAAACAGAGGCTGGGAGTGCAGAGCCCACCCCCTCCTGCCTGTGATGCAAGTGGAATAAATAGACAGTGGTGAGCTGTGACAAGTTCTCTAAGTAAGCAGAGGGGTCTTCCCTACGGGGAAACCCTCAATAATTTAGAAGTTTGGGGGTTTGGTGGGGTTTTTTTTGTACAGTAGGTCAGGCAAGGCAGCCTTTTTGGGTTTTGCAGTCTTCGGTCCTCAGCAAGCTTGAGTCTGTCCCTGTCTTAGGTGGCTCCTGTCCCCACTGCCCATGTGGTAACCAAGGGTGTTCCTGTCTTCCCAGGGTGTTTGATCCTGGCTTGAAAGAGGTGTGGCAGGCAATGGGAGGAATTACTCTGAGGTGCTGTGGTGTAGTGAGGCTCCTGGAAGTTGCCTCAGACATGATACTTAATTTCCTGAAGACAAATGTTACATGACATGGGATTTCCCCTATTTATAGATTTCCCACATTTATAGACAAGCAGCTTGAGCCCTTCCCCCATGCCTGTCCTCGAAGGGCAAGGTTAAGAAAAGTGAAACTTTGCTTTGCTTTTCCGTGCTGGCCCTGTGGCCTCTTTTTTTTGGCCAAAGCTGGCCCCTTGCAGGTGATGCCCCATTGCCCTTCCCACAGCCTGACCTCCTCTGCCACTTCGAATAACTGACCTGCGGGAAACCCACATTGCCAAGGCACCAGCCCAGCGTGTGCCAATTCCTTGGGAGATCTGTCAAAAGAAAAAAAAAAAA